CCTCTGGAAAATTCAGGTGATGTCTCATCCTATAGTTTGTGGGACACAACTTGCAGCCGTGCCACACATGGTTTGATTGCCAGCTCTGATACCTCCTCCTACCAGCCTCATCTCCAGTCCGAGGAGTCCTGACTTCATCTTTCCTGAGCTGGAAGTTTGTTGTGACTTTGCTCATCCTTGTTGCCCTGACTGAGTCTTTTTAGGCCTGCCACATGCTCCTTAATACTGGCTAACCAAACTGCACTAGTACTGGTGATGCACTAGTATTGGTGATGCCACACATAATGATGTGCTCTACTTTGTTCCTATCTCTTTCCCTATGGTCCCTACTGTGATTTGTTTTTTTGACTGCCAAAGCAAATGAATTTTATTTCTTCATTATTTAAAGTTTGTTTCAGTGCTGATGGTAATGGTCAATAGAGGACTGAAAGGTAGACAGAGAGATGACAAACCCACATTTCTCAATACCCTGGAAAATAGACTGGAGACATTTGCTGTTCGTATTCACTGTTAATTGCATATTTCAATTCAGTCAAAATATAAAACCACACTCTTGAAGCAATCCCAATGGGATTATTAAAATGTATTGGCCACTTTGGAGCATGCAGTGACTCTATATGACCAACAAAGTCTAAAGAAGGTAAAAGTACACCCAGAATGTTTTCTCTCCAACAGCTTTCACGCTTTCTATTTCTCATGTTTGAATTGGAGGAAAAGCAGAGATGTATTTTACAGGGTTGCAGATAAATGACACAGTGGAAAAGTTTGTTCAGATTTTGGGTCAAGTGTTTAATGAACATGAACAAATCTTCCCATTACTGCAGAAAAATAATGTGGTTATTTTTTATTAAGAAATCTACCCTCTAAAACCTTTTACAAGATCTCTGATGACTTGTGTCAGATGATTGCCAGGTTGATGAGTAGAGCACTAGAGAAAGGTGAAAGTGGCAAACCCTGATTGCTGGCAGTGTTCTTGGCCATAGTCTGTTACATCTGCACTGGGCAGGCAGGGCTTGGAAAGTTGGGAACAAGGAATTCATTCAGGTATCACCCAGTAACTCCCTCTCCTCCTGGATGTGAATGCAAACTGAGAGACAGGTTCCATGTTTCTGAGTTTCTAGAAAAGCAAAGCCAGAGGACTTAGACTGCAGGCTTTTTTTTTTTTTTTTTTTTTTAATTCCTGAGTAGGATCTATCCTGGCTGTTTCACCGGTGTGGTACCTGACATATCCAAAACACACCCCAGCTCATGCCCTCAAATTCTTCCTTGAAAGCTTTAAAAGCTTCAGAAATGTGATGACTACTCAGGGAACAGAAGCAGTTTGTTCAGACAATAGTTTTGCTAATGAGGCTGGTGTTTGCAGCCCTGGAAACTGTACAGGAACAAGGAAACAAAATGTATCTGCATAGATGGCACGACATTAGTGAGAAAGGAGCATGTGTATCCTGTAAATCAAGCAGGAGTTTTTTAAAACTCTCTTCCCTTTTAATCAGAATGCTGTGAGGGAGAAATGGCTAGCAAGAAATACTGCAAACTCCTATCTGCCTGCAGATTATTGTTCAGTCTTTGAGTTTCTTTATTTCCTTGGCTTCATCTGGCTCAAATATTTTTGTTTGAAGATGAAGGTGCTCAGGTAGGTCTTACAGGCCATTCTTTCAGCTTGGGCTGAATCTTTGTGATTGTGATAGAGACAAAAGAAGGTCAGGTCTTCAAGTGCACCCTCCCCCTCTCCAGTAAACCCCCTCTCCCTTTCCAAGGTCTCTGATGTTCAGTGTATTTTGTCTAAGATGGGAACACCAGGGTGGGTATTGCAGGAGAAATTTTCTGTGTGACTGCACAAGGAAAATATTCCAGAGATGGGGGAGCTGAGATGCTTGCACTGACTTTGGTGCACATTGGCCTGCTAAAGGGTGATACCTATATAACTTAGATCAGAGTTACAAGGTGCTTATATAGCTTGATATCAATATAACCTGATATATCTATATAACCTGATACATATATAACCTTAATCACAGCTTTTTATACCAATATAACTTGAATCATAACTTTTATACTTATCTAACCTGATATAAATAACTTTTTATACAATGTAATGGCTAGTATAAAGTATACTAGATGCTTAATGCCTGAATAGGCAAAAAAGAAGAAAAAACTCACCAGGTGAATAGCTTTAGAGATAGATAAGTGTGGTATTCACATGTCTTCTGAACAGAGAAGTTGTGAGAGAAGCAGAGAAGAAGGAAAACATATCTCTCTTGCTGTGCCAGAGCGGAATGTAATATGGAGATTATTTACCTGAAGTGAGGATGTTTTGTTCCCTTGGCCTATCAGAGTCAAGAAGTGTGTGTGTGTTGGACTGTCATGAGACAGTCGCGAGAGAATCAGAGATGAGTGCAGTTCTGTGCAGCTGTGAACAAGGGTGCATGCAAGGCAGATTAATTTTAGATTCAATGTGTATAGTATAGAATAATAAAGTAATTCTTTAGCCTTCTGATAAGACAGAGTCCTCCTCATCATCATTCTCTCTCTCCCTCACACATGCCGAGGAGTCCCCTTTGATTTACAATAGATAAGTATAATACTAATGAGAAATTGGCAAGTGCAAAGCTAATTAGCCACAAAACAAAGAATTTGGTTAGGACCAGACAGACCAAGGAACACCATAACTGCACATGCTCTGAAGGCAAAGTTGGAAAGTTCAGATATGAAGATGACCTTGGAAGCCTTCATCAAAGACCCCTGACAGCCCCTGGAGTGGGGAGATGCAAGTGCAGTGCAAAAGAGCTATTTATAACCATGAGATCATACTATGTATATTAGTTCTGGCATGTATGTGATGATGTTGTAGTGACATAGTGACACTTAGCAGTACTTAATGTATACATAAACCACAGCACTTGACAAAGGTGGGTGAGTTAGGAGGAGAAATCCCCCTCACCACCAGCCCTGCAATAAACAAATACCTGCTCTACAGACATCGGTCTATGGGGGTTTATTTCCATCCTTTCAGGCATCAAGGGTATGAAATGTTGCTGGAGACTGGAACAACTGGGTCTTCCAAGATTGCAGGCAGCTTTTGTGGGCATATTCCTCTGCCAACCCCACCCCCACATCCCCCTGCCCCTTGCCAGCACAGGTGCCCGTAGAGTTCATCCCGACTGAATGCTTTCTATTGGATGTGTGAGTGAAAGCGTAAGAGCCATCATGCTAAACTCAACCCCGTGTTGGATGTCCCTTCCAGCTCCCCCTGCAATTTGTGCCACGCCCCACATGCTCTAGTCCGGTAGCACTACACTGCCAAGAGCTGCAGATTTTTACTCCTCTGTCTACATTTTCGCTAGCTTTTAATAACCATATGAAAATTTGCTATCATTTCCGACATTTTAAAGATGAGCTAGAAGCTTTGTTGATTGATACTGATCCAAAGTAAAGGCTACATTTACTGTTTACTAACCACTTTAGCAATGGTGACAAGTTATACTGTGTGCTGACCAATTAACATGCTCCTGTTGGTAAGACAGTACCTGTGGGGTAGGAAGAAGTAGGAAGACATTTAAAGCAGCAGGCAAATTGAATTCATGGGTTTCTGCAGGGAGACACTGAGAGACTTGCTCATCTTTTATTGCCTCTTCTACTGCAAACCTGCAGCCTTCACCTGGGCCAAGTAAGAGGTCACAAAGAGTAGGAGGGCACTGTACTTGGGCTGGGTTTGCCTGTGACACAGTAGGAGAACTAAGCAACAGAAGTCTGTCCTGGAAAACAAAATTTCTGTCCTTGTTAGGAAGAAAAAGTAACCCAAACCTTAAATTTCAAGCTTGTGCCATGCAGAAAGGCTTTAAGCTTTTAACATGCCACATCCAACTTTGGCTGGAAGCTGAGTTGCTGGCCCTGCTCCTGTGTACAGAGCACTCTTGCTGGAAAGTCACCTGTGCCCAGTTCTGAGGGGTGTCCCTGCACTCCACAGGAAACACCAGGGAGGAGTTGGAGGGACTCCCCTCCTCACTGGTGTATCCTGGAGCCAGACTTGGTGCAGCAGCCAGTCTGTTCCACTGCACCTGCAGGCAAGCGGGGTTTGGTTTTCCTCCATGTGGGCTGTGCTGAGCGCAGGCAGCACTGTGGGATGGCCCAGGGAACAATGAGACAGCCTGGCACTTCACAAGGCCAGTCCCCTGCGTTCCACACACCACCAGCGGCATGAGCCAGCAGGCTGCACTGCCAGCTCTTGGGCTTTGCTGCCTGAGGCAGACTGGGGCTGGAGAGCCCCACTGGGGAAAAGAGGTAACCAAGAGCCTGCTGTGTCCCTGGCAGCATGGACACTGACAGCATGGACAGAGCATGGACACACCATGGACATCAGGGACACATCACAGCATGGACGCACCATGGACATCAGGGACACACCATGGGCAGCAGGGACACATCACAGCATGGACACACCATGGACAGCATGGACAGCATGGACACACCATGGACACCATGGACACACCATGGACAGCATGGACAGCATGGACACACCATGGACAGCATGGACACACCATGGACAGCAAGGACACATCACAGTATGGATACACTATGGACAGCATGGACACACCATGGACACCATGGACAGCATGGACACACCATGGATAGCATGGATACTCACAGCATGGACACTCACAGCATGGACACTCCATGTATAGCATGGATACTCACAGCATGGACACTCACAGCATGGACACTCCATGTATAGCATGGATACTCACAGCATGGACACTCACAGCATGGACACACCATGGACACTCACAGCATCCTGTGGTATTGAAGGGTCCCTGTAACAGCCAAGAAAAAAGAACATTCCCAGTGCAATGCCCTCATGGCGCAGTCCTTGTACACCCCTGACATAACAGCACAGCCTGTGTCTAATATATGGCTCCACCCCATAACCCCAGACTGTGCTTAAAAAGCCTCCCACATGAAAAGCCTTAAAACAATGAAGCAATGAAGCCATAAAACAAGAATACAGGTACCAGAGCTTTATTAGATGTTTCACTGGATACAAAGAAACTGGATTTTATATTATTTTTTTTTACTCTAAATACACATTCTTGTCATAAAAATTCACATTTGCTATACAGAACTGTAGGCATTTTTAACACAACATTTATTAAAGTACCATTAAACAGATCCTAAAACGAGAAGGTGCAGCTCTGTGAACCTTTGTGGGCACAACACACAGGGAGCTCTATGTTCTCAGTGTTACACAATCTTCCTTCCCACCAAAACGGAGACGAGTCATTCAAATGCATTAATGCTCACTGGGAATAATAAGGCTTCTGTACAGAGACCCTGAACAGTGTCAGGAGGCAGTGTGGCAATAACATGCTAAAAATCATCACCTAGATGATACTAAACTACTGATGACTGAGGCAGTCAAAAACTTAACTGTCCTGGCAAGCCCATATAATTTTTCTTTTTAAAATTGTGGTTTTAACCACATATTTTTATTTTCAGTAATTACAAATTAGTAATTAATAGTAATTACAAATAACTCCAGGATTCTGCTTTAAGGATCCCTGCTTCACAGCAAAAGTAATTGCAGCTACTTGAGGAATTTCTTCCAATCAAACTGACTTTTGTAGAACCAAAGGCTGCAGGAAGAGGTTAGTACATGCACTCTTACTGCACAAACAAAAACCCCTAAGTGCACCTCCCTCTGAGGAGATACTCATTGGCCACGGTGATGCCTCTTCAAGAGGATGTGTGTGCATAACTTGGAGTGTGTAGATAAACCATACTGGGACATCAGATGAGGCCCACTTCCAGCTTTTAGCCCCACTCACATAACATCCTATACAACCATGTGGACTTCTGTGGTGTACTGAGGCTGACAAATATCTAATATTCACAGCTAGCAGGCAAAGTGATGTGTATGCGCAAGTCCAGAAAAGCAGCACTGAGCAGAGGCAAAGGAAAGAAGTGGGAAGATGCTGCATTTTAACTGGACAACTGACTCTGATTTTCAGAGGCTCTGAAATCACACTTGTGCCTTCCCTCACTCACTGTTCAGGTGAATCTGACTGAAGATGACCTCATGCCAAATGTGCTGCTGGAGAGCAGGCACCCTACTCCAACCAGCCAGGCACAAGGTGGACACTCCCTGTGTTTAGTTAATACCTCTATCCTAATTACTCTTGGCATCAGGCATCTTAAATATAAACCATGAAGGCAGAGCTAGACCTGACTCTGGGAATAGTGCCTGAGTTGTACCTGTAGGCAATGTAGAGATTCCTAAGTAGCTCCTGCAGGGACAAGGAATTATTATAGCTTTTTTATTTAAAGCTGCCACAATTCCTGAAAGCAGAATGCTGTACATGGGCAGGCCAGGCCATGCTGATCAGCCTATGGCATTCACAATTTTTACATAAGGATTTTTTCTTTTATAGGTCCAACCTACACTGGAGCAAAGTTCACAGCTCTTCCTGCAAATTTAAAGCTATGTTCCAACACAGGACATGAGCAGTATTGCATAGCATCCAGGCACTTCCTTAAAGCCAGGATATCCCCATCCTCCTATCATGACTATGTTCCAGAAGATGAATTTGAGGCCACTCAATTGCATGATCACAATTCCTGCTGGCATCAGCAGGAGCTGTGTGTGCGCAGAAGTGATTTGATCTGTAACACACTGGAAACCACGTCTTTGCCACCTTGTACAGTCAAGGCAGTTATCAGGCAAACATCCTATTCTGTATTTACAAATCTGTAAGTGAGCTCCAAGTAACTTCAAGTTTAACTCCTTCGTGCCAGAAAGTGAGGGAGTCAGCTCTACAGACAACCCCTGGTAACATCTGAAACAGAACCGATAATTATGAGATTTAACAATATTATCCTAATGCATTAAGGCAGGTCACATAACTGCCCTTTTCCTTTAGGATTAATTATTATTTCATTGTACACTGTAGACAATCCATAATCCCATTTACACACATATCTATAAAACAGCAGCACAGTAAAAACTAAATAGACCACTGAACTCCAAATACTTGTAATCAATACGTTACACATACTATACAGCATATTTTAACCTCACCATTGGGTAAACATATACAATTCAGAACAACATTGACTGTATGTAACACAGAAGCTACCACTGAGATATGGCAAATACATCATACACTATTAGCTTTTACTTCACTGAAAAGGAATTTAGAACTTTGAAACAGTGTTACCTGAACTCTTGAAATCACCAAATGGCCTAATCAGTTGCTAATAACTAGTTCTTCATATACTAAATTGAGGATAAACAGCACTGGAACTGTGTTTTCAGGGCACTCTGCTTTCTTTTTTATTTTGTGGAATTAAGCTCCACAATTTTAAATTTCATTTGTAACACAGCCTATAATTACTACACAGTGACTCTCTGCTCACTCTCATCTCAGGGTAAAGGCTTGGTAACTACTTTGAAGTTAGTAGAAACTGTCTAGATTTGTATCAGTATGACAGAAAGATTGAGCCCAGCATACAGGATCATACATTCCCTCTCAGCCATGCATGCATATATATTTATATACACATACATGCGCACATTTAAAATAATGTTTTGAAATAGCAGGACCTACAAAACCAGTAATGTTTTTGTCCACCAGCAAAAGAATGAAAATAACCCACTAATTCTAAAACTACACTCCTGTGGTCTGACTCCAATTCACCCCTCACCATACAAGGCAGGAATTGCACTCCAGGAACCACCTCCTGTTTGGACTGGATTTCTGCAGGTTAGATCACTATGGAACGAAGATGTCTCAGCATGTGTAAACTGAAAAATGGAGCTAGGTGGGTTTGCACTGCTGAGACATTCCGTTTGTGCAGCACAGTTGCCATTTTTCAAGTATGGGTAAAAAGAAAGGATCAAGTAATCACATGAAACTGCCAGAAAACAGCAGAACTCAGTGTATACACAACAAACATAGTGAGGGGGAAAATAAGCAGAAGAAGGAAAAAGATGTTTTGGCAGTGAATGACATGACATTTTGGTTAAGTAGATGCTTATACAGATCAGTAGTGTAGACAGGTATTTTTCCGTGATGGGCTGATTACAGTCAACTAATTTCCCATGCAAGATTCCTCATAATACATGTGAAGAAACCTTCCAAGTTTATGGGATCAGAAAAACACATCTGACCCAGCCCTGCAAGCACATTTCTGGTTGAAATTAAAGACAATTTTTAGCTGCATATGGATGGCAAAACTGGGCTGTTGAATGGTCCAGTTGTGCTGCATAGTACTTTCTGGCTTGTTCTTTTTTGGCAAGATCCCCAAACAACATCAACAGGGAGTGCATCTCTATCAGGACTTACAGTTTTAGGCCCTCACAGATGAAATCTTTAGAAGAGCATGGATAGTATATCCCCACATGCACTTTTTTCTTTTAGTAATTAAGGCAAGTTTGTTTACCTGTTCCTACCATAAAGTGCTGTGCTTCTCCAATAGAAAGATTGACAGCTAAATGAAAACATATTTTTTCTGACCAGAATTTAAGATTTTGCTAGTATTTGTCCCCATTAATGGACAAATGTTACAATTTGTCTATTATTGTTTCTTGTCAGAGGATTTTTTTTGCTTTGCTTTTACTTTCTGTTTATTTCCAAATGAGAATTAGAATAAAACTGACACTAAGCAAACATTTCATAACAATACTAACAAACTCTAGATAGCTCTATACTTATTCATATATACAGGCACACACATACACTTTTTAAAATACAGCAAAGCATTTGCCTTGAGTATACCTCTGAGCAGCGAAAAGCCTGGTGTGTCTGGTGTGTGTTTGAGCAGGGGTACCAGCAGAAACCTGGTGTTGATGCTCTCAGATGCAACAGAATTTCAGCCAGAATCCAAAAAAACCCCAAAACTGAAACCTAATTTTCACTCCACCCAAGGATTCAGATCACTTTACTGTAATAGAATGATAGATTAATTCTTTTGGCTATACTTGAGCAGCTGAAGAATCACTTCAGGAGGAGTCTGGAAACAACCAACTCCAACTAAATGGAAAAAAGAGTATTTTACACCTCACTGCCAATAAATAAGCACACATTTTCACATTTTTATGTAGGACACCCACATAGGTGTGGGTTCGAAATTTATTTTCATGTTTCATTTTATATGTCTGTTACATAAATTTTACTTGGAGAGCCTGTGGAAACCAGAAACAAAGTCTATCAAGCCACTCTATAACTTGCTTAATTGTGGGTGAAAGCATTAAAGTCATACCCCTTGTTCAACAAAACCATGACTTGTGACTCTACGTAAATTTTTGACACGGTCTGGATAAAGTTAAATGCCATTAAAAACCTAACTAGCTTAGATCACAGATTTCATTGGGGATGACTTGTACAGTCATAACCCATACAGAAGAGAATGCTACTGAAAGAGCCATCATGACTTCATAACAGCTGCATGAGTTTTTTAAAAAATTTATAGTAGTCCTGTCCAGAACCCCAAAGATCATTATGCAAGTGTACAAGGATGTGTGTGTTATACACATACATTTAAGTGTGTCATTATACTACACATACACTTAAATTATTCTTTATTCTACACTCACATATGCATACACTTTTTCCAAGGCACCCTCTCAGTACAAAACAGCAGGAAGTGTTCTTTTTATGTCACTCTCTAAACTAAAGCAAACAAACCCCCTATAATGCTTGTAACCCATCTGTTCAATATGGCCATCTCTGAATTTCTAAACTCTGATGGGAGATGGTAGTCATTATCATCTGACAGAAAAGAGTAATGGACTGTATGATGCAATTCTCTCTTCTCACTCAACCAAAAGTTCTAGTAACATCAACAGAAATTTGACCTTAATTCTATCCCATAAATCCTTACAATATTTCAAAGAACATTTCCTTGTAAGATGTTATAGCATCTATTGTTTTGTACAGATGAGATGTTTTATTTTCCAAAGTTGTGTATGTGTGTGTTGATGTGTCCAGGAGATAAAACTGCCTGCATTTTATCCAGTTAGGTGTCATAGAGTTTTAATGCTCTCATTTTATAAATTACTAAGTTTTCAATTTACTTTTTATATATGTTTCTTTAAAGCTAGGATGATCAGTGATTTTGTTGCTGGAACAGTGCTATTCAGTAGATGTTCAATCTTGTGTTATGCAGTATTATATCCCACAGACAATTTAAGGACTACAGAGTACTGCTATTAGCTAGAATTGAACTACTACATTCTTTAGTACAGGAACTTTTCACTGATGAAACTGGCACTGATTTTTTGTAATCAGTGGAAAAGTGTTCTGCTCATAACTGCCTTAAAGAGAGGCTTAGACTGCACCTAGACTACACCTATTTTTAAGTGCAATTTCAGTCTTGCAGAAATCAGGTTTCCACCATGGGACAAAATACTGCACATGTTAAAGTATGCACAACTCACCTTATGCTCAATCCATGCTAAACACAATTATTTTCATATTCAGGATATGGGATGAGGCTCTTACATAAGATTAATCCTGGGAAGAAGTGGAGCTCAAAGCTGGCCTAACTGCGTTCCTTATGGAACCAGGGAAAATGTGGACCAGCAGCTGTCCCTTAAAGGTTCATATTGTGACCAGTGTTATTTAATAACTTCATTAATGAAGCAGATGAAAGAATCAAGCACACCCTCAGCAAATTTGCAGGTAACACCAAGCTGAGTGGTGCTGTTGACACCCCTGAAGGATGGGAATTTCACATGGTTTAACAAAACTAAGTGCACAGGCAGCCCCTGGTAGCAGGCTGGGCATGAACAGCCCCAGAGCAGCCCTGCCCAGAAGGGCTTGGGGGAGCTGTGGCTGAGAGGCTGCACATGCCCCGGCCATGGCACTGCCAGCCCAGAGAGCCAAACGTGTCCTGGGCTGCATCCAGAGCCCCGTGGGCAGCAGGGCAGGGAGGGGATTCTGCCCCTCTGCTCTGCTCTGCTGAGACCCACCTGGAGCACTGCATCCAGAGCTGGGCTCCCAGCATGAAAAGGACATGGACCTTTTGGAGCAAGTCCAGAGGAGGCTGTGAAGTTGATTAGAGGGATGGAACACCTCTCCTATGAGGAAATGCTAAAAGAATTGGGATTGTTCCATCTGGAAAAGAGAAGGCTTTGGGGTGACCTAATTCTGGCCATCCAGTACCTGATGGGAGTCTACATGAAAGGTGGAGAGAGACTTTTTACAAGGGCATGTAGTGACAGATGAGGGGGAATGGCTACTGAGAGTAGGTTTAGATTAGATATTAGGAAAAATTCTTTGCTGTGAGGGTTATGAGGTACTAGAACATGTTGCTGAGAGAAGCTGTGGATGCCCCATGCCTGAAAGTGTGTAAAGCCAGGCTTTGGATGGGGCTTGGAGCAACCTGGTCTAGTGAAAAGTGTCCTGCCAATTGCCAGAGTGTTGGAACTAAAAGATCTTTAAGCTTCCAACGCAGGCCATTCTGTGATTACAGAGTTAGGCCAGTATCACATACCTGCTGGCTTGACCTGAGGCAGAGACCTTGGAAAACCCCATTTGAGAATGAAAAGCAAGAAAGATTTCATCTGTGCTTTGTGCAAGCTACACAGTACATGATGTTTACCACCGATTATGGTACATAGCATGTCATGGTTACTGTCCACTGATTATGCATGTGTTAGAAGCATGATTTTGGATTTACATCACAAAGGCATTTAAACCTGCAGCTCATTGATAAATATGATCAGTTAAACCACCTAACAGATGAAATGTAGCAGCTTAAAATTTTTGTGCCAGATATACTGTCCTCAGTCTCCTGGTGCAATGCTCACACCATTGGGAATTCTGCTGTGAGCAGGAAGAGGACAATATATACATCCCCTTGCTCTGAAAACAACAAATTTCTTGGCACTGTTCATAACCACAGAAGACACATGAATCACATTTGGTACCTCATGGAGAACCTGTAAATGGCCTTCTTTTATCAAACACTGTAAACATGTTTAGTTTTGCTTTTCACACTAAACACAAATATGAATAATGATCATAAATGATGAAAACATTTCCCTTATGCCCACCCACTAAAGCCCTAAACACCTCAGTGTGTTACAAGAAGATGAGTGTTTTACAATATAATCCTTTTAGAATACAATCTTTCCTTTTTTTTTTTTTTAATTCTGAATAACGCAACAACACACATATCACAGTACTATCAAGTAGTGTCATCTTCACCTTCATCCAGAGAATAGTTGAGCTTTATGACTGTGCTGATAAAGTCACCAAGTTCTACAAAATCTGCAGTGATAATATTCACACCACTCTCTCCTGCTTTTTGAGTTCGGACCCACTCCATCATTGCAGGAAGAGCCCTAAGGAGAAAAGAAGAACAATAATTACTCATAAATCAGTGAGACAAATGCATCAAGGCAGGATTTACTGACAGTGTCTCCCACTGATCTTACTTGGTTCCTAAGGGAAAGAAACCACGTGAGACAGGACACAGGTTACTGCTCAAGCTTTTCAAAAAGATAAGCAGGCTTAGAGTAATTATTGATTTTGCCTAGGCACAGGGCAAAATTGGACCATGGAACAGATACTTTTTGATATCATCTGGCCATACAACTCCAAGGGAATTGTTTATGGAAAAACCAGTAACAGAGAATTCAAGCCATTTGCAAAGCATGTTTGATGCACTCAAGGAAATGGCAAAAATTGCATTTTGAGGAACACAGAAACAACCATGATTCCTACAGTATAAGTACAGCATATACGAAAAACCCTTTCTTCACCAGTACTGATACCCAAGCCATTAATTAATTAGACTTAATCATAAACCAGTGGTTGGTAACTGAAATAGAAAGCACCGTAGTCATATCAACTCTTTTCTAAGATTCTAAATTTTAATTATGTCAGATCCTTAGCACAGGAATACTGGGGTCTAAAGGATATCTGCCTAACTATGCTTCTGAATATAAAGAATTTTTTTCTGACCTTTTTTTTGTGGAAATACAAACTAACAATCACAAGAAACATCTGTGAGAAAAATAAAAGGCTCCTTAGTCCTGCTGAGGCTGTCAAGCAGCAAAATCCAGTTTTTAGAAGAAAGAAGTTAACAGAGTTCCAAAAAAATAAGGTACACATTTTTCAGAGAAAGGGCATTTTTCAAAGAAAGGGTAATTGACCATTGGTACAAAATCCCAATGACTGTGACAAACTCTGCAGCAGTCTTTAAATCAAGTCTGGCTATCATTCCAAAATTATACTTTTGGTCAACCTCAAGCTGCTGAGTTAAATAAAAGAACCTAAGTCTGGGCAGGGCTGCAGTCAGTTTAGATGAACATTGTGTTCTCCCTTTGCTCTAAGATCTATAAATCTGTGATTTCCCCTAAAACAGCATGTTGTGCAGTCTTTTTCACAGACACAAGGTACATGGAAAATTTTGGTCTGACAGTAATTTAAATGAAGGTGAACATGTTGAACCTATATATTTTCTCAAAAGTTTTAGGAAAGCAGATCTAAAGAAAAGAGAACTATTAGCAGACAGAGATTGTACTTGTCAGTGGCTACTAGAATCCGTCCGTTTTAAAAATAACTTAATACAGAATAAAACCCAAACAGCTAAAATTATTCCTCTCTGTGATTTCACGGGAGAATACCAAGGTTTTATTTCACCAGAATATACTTGAATATACTGTAAGATCCACATATCAGCAATAGATTTTATTTCAGGCATTGATTCAGTATGACTGAAGCACTTGTATGTATGCACACCAGCTCATAAAACCATTCTGCTGTTTATGAACCCAGCCAGCACCTTTAGATGTAAGTTTATGTAATCCTGGAAAGCTGCCCTCTGTAGAACTGTAACAGGGCACAGGTCAGGTGTTAAATACCTGGCAATGCCTGGACTGCTTGAAAAGATCTGCAAGCAACCAGAACCAGGACAGATCTCAGCAGAACAGCACAGACCACCAAGGTGATAAAAGGCAGCTCAGAACAGCTTTAAACTCCACTGCATCTTCACATGTGAAAGGTACTGCTGAACTCTGCTCAAAGATACAAGGTTGAACCTACAAGATAGCAGTATGTATTTAACACCATCCTATTTAAGCCAAAGAGATAGAAGTTTAAAGGTCAACTTGATTCATTGTAGGCAGGCACAAATCCTTCCTTCCTTCCTTCCTTCCTTGACCTTTTGCCACTTCCTGGATGAGAATTTTTGGCGTTGTGTTTTCTCCTCTGGTGCCTGAGATAAGATTCTCCCCCCCTCCCTCCCTCCCTCATAACCCTAATATTTTACTCCCCCTTGAGGCATAATTAATTCCTCTTGGTGTCTTTTACTTGTTCTGAAGCTTGTTCTGATGCCATTCTTTCTTCACACTATACAGTTTGCTGTCCATACACTTCTCCATATTGACCAAAATACTATTTTCATTTTCCTAATGTGCTCCTAGTAAGTCAGACTCCACCAAAAAGTCATGCCTCCTTTTGATTAGTGCTTTATCCTAAAGTCAGCCTGCTTTGCCATTTCATCCACAGTTGACTTGGTTATTTGAATAGGTTATTTTTATTTTACTGATATTTCACACAGGACACAGTTGCATGACCCTCTGCTCATATGTAAATTGCTAGATAAAGTCACGGAAATCTTTTGTTCAGAAGACTAGAAAGCATTTAAAGATAAGTCAGAAATGAATCACATTATCAAACAAAAAGCTTATTTGCATAGCAAAGCCAAATAAAAGAATCATATAAAAGAAAAAAAAAAAAGATAGTTGAAGAAAACATTCCACTGACCTTAAAGATTTGATGTAGGCTCAATAGCTCTCTTTATGACAAAACTTAATACAAAAACCACACAGATGATCTCTTCCCCATGTGCCATCTTGAGAGTGGATTAAACCAATGACTTTAAAAACCACACATTGCTCAGTTTCAGTGTTTATCTCAAATGCTCACAATAATTATTAGAATAAGCCTTCTTTAATATTCCTCAGGGTGCCTTTGTGGTAGCAGTACAAATCTTGTTCACCCTGCCTTGCAATTTCCAAATTGTGCCTCAAACTAGTGATTGTTCTCACCAAGGGTTTTACTCAGGCGAACAAACCACCTACATGACTGAGCTCACAAAAGACCAGTACGTACCACAGTCTTCGCAGATATTTTTATGTGGTTCTCTGTCAGACATGGGGGAAGCTTCTAGAAGCTTCTCACAGAAGCCACCCCTGTAGCACCCCCCTCTACCAAAACTATGCTACTCAAACCCAACCCATCTTGCTGGGTAGGTAAGAAATTATTTTATGCACAAGCATATAGGCAGGAGCGTCTCACCCTGCAAACCCTAGGAGCATCACTGCCTCTGTGTTAGGCAGGTCCTGGCTCTCCTATGGAGGATATCTTTAGGGTACCTCCCACAGCTGGTACAGTCCAGCCCGTATGGACACAATCCCAGCTCTCACAAGGAGCTACAGGTTCCAAAGCCACCACGTTACCCAGAGCCACATACACAGAGGGTGCTGCTTGTCTTTGCACAGAGCCAGGGAGCAGAGTAGGTGTGCTCCTCCACAAGAGCTGCGCCAGGAGAAAGAGAGGAGTCCTCTCCTCTTACTTCCCGGGGCACTGTTTTCTTTCTGCTGCAGTTCCTCTGACCTGGCTGGACTTGGCCAGATCTGATCCTGCCAGGCCAGTGCACCACTGCCCCACAAACCAGCATCTGAAGTCAATTAGTTTTTCCACATCCCTGGTGGAAGCAGAGGGGTTAATGGAAACAGTAGTCTGGGAGGGCAAAGACACAAGACTGGGGAGCTTGAGTGCTGGCAGAGAAGGAGGTGAATGACACACTACCTCAATTTGAGCATGGATTGAGATCAGTAATCTTGGTGATAAATTTTCTGGCCTGAAGGAATGTGTAGAGTATCTCATTTCTTTTCACAAACTGGAAATGAGGAGGTGCCAGATAACTGCACCTCACTGCCAGGATGGTGGGAGTAAAGCCATGTGTCTGACTGATGTGGAAGGACCTCATGGGAAGGGCTGTGGTCCAGCCCAGCCTCCAGCACTGCACCTCCCCACAAGCAGACAGATCCTCCACCCGTGACACCAGCAGCCTTCTGGAGCAGCATTTCCACCTGCCAAAGACTGCATGAGAAGGGGGAGAGTAGAGGACATCTGGTTGGTAGCGACCTACCTGTGCTGGACAATGTGAAGTCACACAGAGATACTTGATGTGCCTGTATTTCTTCTGAGATCTCAGTTTTCATCTCAGGTGGCACCTCACTAGGTTAGTCAGAGGTACTCACAACCTGGGCATAACCTGGGTATCAGGATGGTTTACACCATGACTGCAAGCATGCCTTACATCACCATTCTCAGCCTTTTTTTTTTTTTTTTGAGGGGCCATGCACTTTCTCATAAAGCATTGCTACAGCAATTTTCACTTAGAACACAGTAAAATCTAGGCTCAGCTTTGACACTTATTTTATTACCTCTATTTTCCCTGTTCTGCTTGCTTGCTTATATAAGCAGAAATGTGCACATATTTATTTTTAAGTTTTTCTCCTCTTTCAGGAAACATTTTCTGATGTATTAGAGATCTGCTGAGAAATACTGACCTCAACTGCAAAACAGTCATTGCCCTTTTTAAAGTTACTGAATATTCAAGACCACTTTCGTCTTTTTTTTAAATCTATCAAAGCTCTCAAGTGACTTCAATGGCATTAAATTTTGTTTAAAAAAATAATAATTAAGCATTCAAGTTGCTTCAGTTCAAGCAGTAAAATCATGAGTCCTATTAAAAGCTTTCAGAAAGAAAATATGACCTAATTATTTGTATTAAGCTTTGTTTTTTAAAAAACTGTTCCTAGGCTATTTTAGTTCAGAAAGAGGGTTGGTTATTTGGTTTTTTTAATGCCTGAGTCATGAAAACCCGACAGTGTGACAGAAGACTAATGACAGCAGTGCTGTAAGACAAGACCTCCCGTGGTGGAACAGCCGCTCCTCTCTTCAGAGCTTTCACAGGAAAGGAGAAGGAAAAGCAACTTTCACAAACACAAAACAGAATGGCTATTCACTATTTAATGAGAGTTTGATCACTAAAGGCAGAGAACACATTTTCTTCTGGAGTGCAGGGAGTCAGTACAACCTAATCCACAGTGAGAAATTGGTCCCATTCTCAGGGTGTGATGCTGCCGAGCATTAAGTGCCCATTCCCAGTAACACCAGTGAGAACTGCAGCAGGTCTGCATGCTCAGGGCAAAGTGACATGTGGCATTTCTTCCCTCTCCAGTGAAGCACACATGCTGCTCCCTGCAGCCTTTTGCAAACAGGTCTTATGGCTGAACAAAACCAGTACCCCTTTGCATGAGACTGT